ATATCAAATTTAAATTAAATAGAGTGTATATATATATATCTCATACACAGGATTGAAATTTAAAAAAATAATTTTTTTACTTTGAGAATCAAACTTATAATAAAATATTATTAATTCACCTGATTACCATTACATTGAAATAAATAGGAATCAATCAGAATGAATCTATAAGCCTTCCTAATATTAAATTCTGATTAGACTATAAATTTCTGAATGAGAGTCGATTTCATAATTACTATAGTAAAAAGGTGGCTAGAGATTCAAAAATTGAAAGATAATCCTCGGCCTAAAAATTAAACTCATCCCTTTAGGAAGGGTGAGTGAGTAGAAATTAAGATTTGAGAAAAACAATCCACTTTTTTCAAGTTTTTACAATTTATTAGAATAATTTCATGATCCTGATAAGTTTGAATTATCCCATCTAGATAAAAAGTCTCCAGTTCTGTTAGGCCAGCAAGCAAGCAAATCAAATATTTAATTATCTAATCATTTATTATTAAGATCAATAAAATGGTTTCCGAAGTACTACTTCAACTTACGAGTCCACTCCACTCCTCTCCACATCATTTCATTCTTATCTTCTCTTTCCCCTGAGCGAATGGAGCAATCTGATTATGTATCTAAATTCCATTTATATTTCTAGAACAATAAAGGTTCTATCATTCAAAAAAGTTAGTTAACTTGATTTTATCCTAAAGATCTGGGGTTTATAAATCCAAACAATAGAATTCAAGCATAAACTTCTATTGTTAATCTAAGACAAGTTAGAATAAGTAGTAAGTCGAATTTTTTAGAGTAATTCAAGAAAGAAATGTTACTATACTCTTGTATTAAATTCTTCTCTATGAATGGAAGGAAGCCTCCAGCTTCTAAATCATTTACAGGACATTGCCACTGTTTCAGCAGAGACAGCAAAACGAAGGAGGGCCTTAAACAAGGGTAAGCCCCAAAAGATATCTTATTTCTCAACACCATGGGAAAAATAAAAAGTTAATTTATTTTTAATTCTCTTCTTTTTTATTCTAATCAATAAATAAGAATCTTGATATTTTTTCATTTGATCTAACAATGTAAATTAACATTCTATTTTTTTTAAAAATTATTATTTGAATTGTTAAATCTAAGACAAGAAAAAACCTAGCATATTAGGTTATAATATTAGCAAAGAAGATTTTCCCTATTGAAAAAAGAATTTTACAGTTATAATAAAAACCTTAGATCATTGTAATTGTTAACCTACTAATAAAATTTTCAATGATTTTAGAGAAGCTAATTTGATTTGACATAAATGATAATTTTTTAGTAAAAAATTGTTAATGAAGATAATTATATTATCTGCATTTAAAATTATTGATATGATATTTAGAAAGAGCATATATTTAATATTTCACTTTAGTCAAAATACATAGCTGTTAATTACTTATTATTTTTGATATTTTCAATATTTACTTAACAGTATTTTAATCTAAATCTTTATTAATAATACTTTTCTAATTAGTTTAATTGAATGCAAAGTAAAAATAGAAAAATATAATTTAAAAATTCAATATTTTGATGATTCAAAAAATTTTAATCATTATATGATTTAATGATTATGAATATAAGATTGGAAAATGGATTCAATTAAATTCTAATTTTTACAAGTATATTATTTATATATCAATTCAAGATTATTTCAAAAATTCATATTGTAAGAACTGAGATTATAGAATTGATTTAATTAAGAAGGAATAAATTAAAAATAATTGAATTATTTTAAAAAGGTGAAGGAATTTTTAATTAAAATGAATTAAAAATGATGTGTAGCATATGAGAATTATATTCAGTATCTATATTTTAAATATCTACTTTTGTTAAGTAGTATTTTTTGATTTATATTAAAAAAATTAAATGAAAAATTGTTCTTGATGAAGGCATTGATATAAAAAATTATTCCGTATTTTACTAAGTTAACGTAAATTAAGTACTCTGATATGTAATGAGGAAAGAAAATATAAATTAAGCAAGACTCGTAAGTAAGCAGAAAAATTAGGTATAGACAAAAATAAAATAAAAATTTCATTTTGGCCATTTGATAATTTCCAATTATCTTTAATTGTATTATCGTAGTTTTCTTTCTTGAGCTTTTACGAATCCAAACTTCAGTTGATGATGATTTATCAAAACATTAAATATTAAGTGTTAATGATGCTTGAATGAAACTATTCAATATATTATTAATACTTAATTAATCCAAAGCTATAATAGTCTTATTAAGTTATAATTTTTTAAATCATTATAATCTAATGTTATAAATATAAATTTCAATTCAATTTATCTAATCATTTTAAATTATTTATACTTATAATATCCATCAATATCTTGAAATAAATTTTCTTTCTAAATTACTCTCTATTTATCAAGTTACTTTAAATTAGTCATTAGGATCTCAAACCATTATAGATATTTGATTTATTCTAAATTATTCAAGAATTATTAAATTCAATTATTAAGTTCTGATATTAAATCATTGAGTTGAAGAAAGCAGTCTAACTATCGCCAAGTTAAGATTGGGTTTAAAAAGACCCTTATGAAAGTCTAATAAAGGACGACCACTGCTTTTAAAACTTTAGAATAAGTGATTTTAATAATAAGGGTTTTGCTTAACAAGGGTCCTATGTTTGCCTTATGACACCTCTCTATGCAGTCTGTACTGCATTCCACCCTCGGTTTTACAGGTGGAAAGTCAGAAGTTAAGGAAGCTTATTTTCTAGAAGATGTGAATTAATGCTGACGAATACCAATAACTAGAGGTTGAGGTGGCAACCCATTCCTCTGATGGAGTTATTATAAGTTACTAAATCTTTTTAGACACCTAGATCCTTAACAAAGATGATAGATATCTAAATTATTCTAAAAATTAGAAAAGCTCGTTATGAAATTCAATATTGAACATAAAATAATCAATAAACTTTAAGATGAATCCATATTTGGAGTATTTTATTTCCTTTATTTAAAGTAATCTGCAATTTAACATAGAAATTTTTTTCTTATATTTTTGATGAAATCTATTGACTAATTTTATTATCTTATCTTAATTTATTAATATAATTTATTCAATTTGAAATTAATCTATTTTCACTTTAAATAATTCATCTACAACTTATTAATTATAGCGACAAAAAACCTTTTGAGAGAACTAAAAATATATCGATTATAATAAACATTAATTTATTAATAAATTTTTATAAATTTTTTTATTATGTTTTGATATGCACTTTAATTAATTAAAGCTGAGATTCAATAATCATTTATCAAGATTATTTTTCTCTAAATAATTTTTTTATTCTAATATAAAAAGAAAAATATTAATAAAAGTTATTTTCTATAAGAGTGAACTAATAGATGCAAAAGTAGTCTGAAAGAAAATGTTGAATGGTAGGTATAAAACTTGTATCATTAAAATAGAACCTTCAATGAGTTGAATTAAAAAAAGATTCATACAAAACTTCCATTTAGATTTAAGAAAAGTCACAATTATAATGTTTGTAACTCCTATTCTAAAAATTATAAAAATGAAGTAAACAATCATATGAAATATTTTTTAATCATAAAATTAAATAGTATTTATAAATCTTATTAATACTATTCGATGTAATTAGTTTTCAATACCAAAAAAGAAACTATTGTATTCAAGTAGTATTAAAAAAACAATAATTTCGATTGCATCACAAGAAATTTAAGAATATCTATTTAATAATCTTATGGTTTAAAATGCATATCTAAATATTATATCCAGAAGTGAAATTGAATCACAACTAAGAGAATAAAAGAATTAAAAAAAAAAGATACCTATAGAAGAATTACATTTTTAGTCATTGATATATTCCAAACCATTACTTCCAAAATCAAAGAAAGACAACCTAGTTATATGAAACTTTTTTTTTTAATTATGGTTATTCTCTTTTGATCGTGATATATGTTTATTTATATAATCTAACAAAGAAGTAGAAATATGATTTCTATTATAGAGTTCATTAGGGATCATTATTAGATTATTTTTCTTTTATATTTACTAAGCATAATTTATTGAGAATTTGGAAACAAGAATAAGAAAAATAATGATCTTTTGAATAAGGAAAAAACTCCTTAAAGGATATTAACATAAGCAGATGAAGTTACAATAACTTATAAGGATACCACTTAAATAATATATTGATCCAGCTCAAAAAAATAATTGTAAGCCAATATTAAAACATCAAATCATTTGGTTAAATTAAAAAATTGAAGTAATTAATTTTTTCAAGGAAATATTGATGCTTGTGTTACTTAATAATTGGTAGGATTAGATTAATATTAATTTGGTTGAAAGATATGCAAGTATGGCCTTTAATGATATTGTGAAATATTCAAACTTGGCTATTATTATATTAATGAAATTTATATTCAATTCGATTACCTTAATATTTTCTTAAATATTTTAATTAAAATGAATTATATATTATTAATAGATCTAAAATTGATTTATCTATTTTATTTGAACTGCATATTTTTAAGAATTATCTAATAAAATCAAGTGAAGGTATTTTAGCAAAATTGTTGGTATTANGGTAGGTATAAAACTTGTATCATTAAAATAGAACCTTCAATGAGTTGAATTAAAAAAAGATTCATACAAAACTTCCATTTAGATTTAAGAAAAGTCACAATTATAATGTTTGTAACTCCTATTCTAAAAATTATAAAAATGAAGTAAACAATCATATGAAATATTTTTTAATCATAAAATTAAATAGTATTTATAAATCTTATTAATACTATTCGATGTAATTAGTTTTCAATACCAAAAAAGAAACTATTGTATTCAAGTAGTATTAAAAAAACAATAATTTCGATTGCATCACAAGAAATTTAAGAATATCTATTTAATAATCTTATGGTTTAAAATGCATATCTAAATATTATATCCAGAAGTGAAATTGAATCACAACTAAGAGAATAAAAGAATTAAAAAAAAAAGATACCTATAGAAGAATTACATTTTTAGTCATTGATATATTCCAAACCATTACTTCCAAAATCAAAGAAAGACAACCTAGTTATATGAAACTTTTTTTTTTAATTATGGTTATTCTCTTTTGATCGTGATATATGTTTATTTATATAATCTAACAAAGAAGTAGAAATATGATTTCTATTATAGAGTTCATTAGGGATCATTATTAGATTATTTTTCTTTTATATTTACTAAGCATAATTTATTGAGAATTTGGAAACAAGAATAAGAAAAATAATGATCTTTTGAATAAGGAAAAAACTCCTTAAAGGATATTAACATAAGCAGATGAAGTTACAATAACTTATAAGGATACCACTTAAATAATATATTGATCCAGCTCAAAAAAATAATTGTAAGCCAATATTAAAACATCAAATCATTTGGTTAAATTAAAAAATTGAAGTAATTAATTTTTTCAAGGAAATATTGATGCTTGTGTTACTTAATAATTGGTAGGATTAGATTAATATTAATTTGGTTGAAAGATATGCAAGTATGGCCTTTAATGATATTGTGAAATATTCAAACTTGGCTATTATTATATTAATGAAATTTATATTCAATTCGATTACCTTAATATTTTCTTAAATATTTTAATTAAAATGAATTATATATTATTAATAGATCTAAAATTGATTTATCTATTTTATTTGAACTGCATATTTTTAAGAATTATCTAATAAAATCAAGTGAAGGTATTTTAGCAAAATTGTTGGTATTAAAATTTAAATTATTTCAAAAAGAATACCATATCAAAGAATTATTAGAGTAAAACAATTACCTTAAATCTTTATATAAAATATTTTTAAGCCAATTATTTTTGAAATTACTTTCATGATCTATACTTAGTTAAGTTTAAGCCTTAATCTAACACAATCATGAAATCAATCATGATTTTAAACATTTTGAGACCTATCATTAATTTTTTATTGATTTGATTAATACTTTAAAAATACTATACCTTATTTACTTATTACCAAAAACAAAAAAAAAACTATAAAAAAATTTACAGATACTCTTAAATTAATTATAATGAATCAATCAAACCAACTTTTATATTAGCTATTATTATTTGTACTTTTAATCTAAAACATATATATATGTTTATTTCAGTAATAAGCTTCATTCTATAGAATCGATGTATTCTGAAATCAGAATTGCAGCATTCAGGAATCATAATCTCAGTAAGATCATGCGCAGTTAAATTGACTTAATTGTTCTATCACTTTGAGGAAATATTTTCATTTTATCATAGTAATTTTTCTATGATATGGAATTACTAAGAGTCTTCATATTAGTTTTTTATTTTATTATTTTATTTTTAATCTTGTTAAAAACATTAAAAACTAATACTAAAAAAAGAAAGGTTTAATCAAATTCAATATTTGATTTTTTAAAATGCTACATTGAATATGATGATACTTCAAAAAATTGATAGTTATTTCTGTATAAAATCATTCTCATTTGATCCTTATTGCAATGCAGCCATAAAAGCTTATTTATTGTAAAGATTATTGTTTAAAATATCATATTGATTGTAAAAAGATTAAAAATCAGCCATTGATATAGGATTGATGATTTTAATTTAAAATAAAATATCAATTCTTTCATAAAAAACAAAAAATTATCTAATTTCTTATGTCAGAAATTATTTTTTAAAACAGCCCTAAAAAAATTAATAATAAGATTTTTAAAAATAAAAGTCATATTTCAACTTTAAGTAATTGCAAGTTAGATTTAGTTATGAAGAAATAAGAGTA